AGCCTCGAGTGGCTAATATGTGTTAGAGTGGTATTTTGGGGAACTCACTAAGCTTTATGCTTACGGTGTTATTTGTTATGTGTTTCAGGTACCAGTGGTGATCGCGGGAAGGCGCCGGCATGATCTGTACACACACCCGCAGAGTTTATTATGATTTGATCTTGGGATTTGTAGTGAGATAAAATTGATACATTGTTTTTGAAAGCAATTGTGGATGAATTTATATGGCTTTAAAAAGTGAAAAATTGTTTTGAAAATTTGGGTGTTACATAAAGACTACACACACCCTAAAAATGGCTACCTGAATGTGGCTGTTAAGTTGCCTGATTTGTCTTCCAAACCTGACATGGGTCCACGTATGGATATAGCTTATGGGAAGTCTATTACAAAGCTTCACTATGATAAATCTGATACAGTATGATTTCCTTTCTTCTTAAAATCCTATTCTGCGTATGATTCTTTCTTCCTTACATGTTTTTATTTTAATAACTTGCAGGTGAATGTCCTGACACATACAGAATCTCCTGTCCTTTCATCCACAAAGCTTAACAATACCAAAATGGTGAAACATCAAGATGAAGCTTTAGTTTGTGAGGAGGAAGGTGCTCTGTGGGACATATTCAGGAGGCAAGATATACCTAAATTAGAGACATATCTTAGGAATCACTCGAGTGACCTTATGCATGCTGATTGTCTTGCATTTGACAAGATTGTTCACCCTATACATGATCGGATATTTTACCTGAACACTGAACATAAAAGGAAGCTGAAAGAGGAATTGGGTACGTCTTGATGTTGAGTATGTATTTTGGTGATTGCTTGTTATGTTTATACAGATTTCTTGATCCTGATTAGGAATCGAACCATGGAGCTTCAAACAAAAGTTGGGTGATGCTGTTTTTATTCCAGCTGGTTGTCCGTATCAAGTTAGAAACTTGAAGGTCAGATCAGAATATATAATACTTAATACTTGTATGAATGCAATATTGTTTTGTTTGTTATTAATTTTGCTGATTAAAAAAAAAAAAAAAAAAAAAAAACATCTCCTTATAGTCAAGTACAAAGATTGAACTCAACTTTGTTTCACCTGAGAGTCTTGGTGAATGCATCCGCTTACAACACGAACTCCGTATGCTTCCCAACAATCACAGGGACAAACAAAATAAGCTAAATGTAAAGTCTCTCACGTATTAAAGTATTACTTATATTAATAAGTAATTTTATTATCTAACTTGCTACTTTTCTGTGGTATATTTAGATTGGGAAAATGATGCTATATGCATTAGACCATGCTATGATGGATTTGGCAGGTGTTAGTGATTCAAACGACCCCATTGATGATCTGAAGGTACCTGAGACTTCAAACGGTACATAAACCATGACAATTAACCTATCTTATAGTGGCTACTTTTAAATTTCTGATTACACACATTGCAATTTGTGAAAACACAGATGATCATGCAAATAATTTCAATAATAGCAATGGTTGGGTGAATGATACTGAGAGCGGTGACAATTCTGACCAGATCAGCAATACCGATCATACAGTTGATCATGCTCATGAAGCTTCTAGAACATTGATGCCTGATGAAGGATTGTGGCGGGGGAATGCTGTTGGGCTGGAGGTGAAAAAGCTACTGGAGGCTGTTGAGCACCAATACCCAGACACATTTCAAGGGGTTCAAATTCGAGCAAAAGAAATGTGGATTTCCATTTTGAAAGAATTCCATGTGGTCATCAAAAGTTTTCTGGAAACATCCGTTGCTGAACTGGCGGAGGACCGGTTAGCTACCCTTCGGGAGGATCTCAAAGAATTTGAGAGGTTTGGTTTTGATCTGTCGTGGGCCCACAAGAGGATAGACATGGTTGAGAAGCTTAAGTTTGGAAACGAGCCTTTACAACAAGAGTTGATGGCGTTGAAAGAATCGTTAGAGCCACTGAAGGAAAGGTTAGGTGGGAGATGGAAACAGTTTGTAGAAGCTCAGGAGATGTTGAAGGTGGCTCAGTTAGAGTATGATAATGCTTCAGAAGCTCTGAAGAAGAAGGCACGGGAGGTGGCACACAAATTTGGTGATGAATATGATCAGGTATTGAAGGGCCATCTTGGTTTCGGTATGTTGCAAGGCTACTAACTAGCTCACCTGTGAAACTAGAAGTATTCAAAATCTATCTTTTGCAATATCTAAACTTAATTATTAGAAACAAACTAATGGTTGTACCCCGTGCCAGGCCATGTTGCGGAAATTTTGTATATTCAGGCAAGAGATAATTTACGGTATGATTAGATCTAATTATAACAAGAACTTTAAAAATGATTTAAGGCCAAAAAGAGGAAAATTATAAATGATATGATTTATGAATACATCAGTAAATTGGAAAATCCATCCATTTTCATTATCTTTGTATTTATCCAATAGTTTTGATGTGGTAATAATCTTTTTGTGCTAAATAAACAAACCGTAAAAAATATTTTATTAATAAAAATATATTTCAATGATTTTATTGATGTGTAAAAAAGTTAAATTGTAAAATCTCATAAAAACTTATAAACGAAATAAAGATTATACTTTTAATGTGGATATGACCAAATGAAATTTATGCAGAAAATAAAATAGTAAATTTTAAATATCTAGAACCCTAAGAGTCAAAATTGGATAAGAAAACTAAAAAACATTTGAGGGAGAAAGTATTAGAGTTAAATTGAAATACTTATGATCTTAGAGGTAAATTCACATAAAAAACCGAAAGAATGTGGGTTGCATTTCAAAATATCCAAAAATCTACGGTAAAAACAGAATAAATAAAACCAATGTTGTTACAATTGCAATTCCGATCATAGTTCATACGATCCTAGGATCGCATCTAGGTAAATAAATCTCGATCTTACTAGGATTGTTTTCCGGAAAGATCGTGGTAAGATTGTAGGATCTGATTGTAAGATCGTAGGATCGATATTTTTTTTTTTCTTGAACTAACTACATATAATATATATTTTGAATTGTTTAATGTTGTATTGTATATGTATTTTTATGTTTAAACTATATATTGTTAACTGAACAGATGGATAAAAATGTATTTGTTATGTACTAAAATATTTTTGGTAAGATCTTACGATCACGATCTTACAAAACAAAATATA